AATACCTACTTTGAAAGAAAAACCATCGGTGGCCTACAAGTTTTTTTCCCCCCATCCCCCCTTTCCACTCTTGTGGCACTTTTTTTTTTTTTTTCCAACGCACAGCGCACAGATCGCGGCTGCAAAACATCACCAACCATATATATATATATATTATACTCGCATTGTAAAGCAACGCGCCAGATAACATCATCCACATCGTCGTCGACGGTATACATATTATATGGAGGTGCCAATAAATGCACCCAAGAAGTAGGTATGTACCGACTCGCCTTTTCCTTACGTTAACTCGTCCCTCTCCCGATGCACTGAAACGCGCACAAATATTTTATACACATAGATATAGGTGCGCTCGGGTGCGCTCCTCCTCGTCGTAATAGCGGCTGATGTGCAGGAAAAAGGCGCGTAATGAACGATCGACCGACCAACTGTATACGTAAGATCGAGTACATCGCGTATTATGTGTACCGCGTGGCCGAGGGTATACGTTCGCGGGAAATAATAATTGTTCGTCCGTGGTCACGGATCGTCATGCAGAGTCGCGCGGGAATCACTTTCACCTCTTTGTAATGTACCTACAACGATATATATATATCACGAGAGGGTATAAGCGATTCACCTGATGTAGCTTAAAGTCAGACATCTTCGATTGCCCTGTACCTATTAGGTAATCGGACCGTGGCTCGTCTCTGTCTCATCTCATGGCTACAGGTCTTGGGTCATTTTTTAAATTGATCACAAGCGGAAAAGAAATAAATCATGTATATACACTGCACCTCTGACCTCTTGGGAAACTCATTTCTCATGTGCGTATTTTCAATTTCGGAAAATATATCGGTTCCTATTATTGTGTTTCACAATAAATCTGCGGCGATTTTTTTTTTTATAATGCCCATCACGACAGCGTACATATAATTATATGCATATAGCAATGAAATTCAGAGCTAAATGGGACCTGTATGAGGACCTCCAATGGGTATAAAATATTTATACACAGAGTGCAAAAAGTATACTATACACCGGCAATCGCGACTATCCATGATTGCTCGTCCTTTCAACATTATCGATATCATTATCAACGAATAGCGATTCGTTCGAAAATAAACAACAAAATCATCCTACAACTCGTAGATAAGTTTTTTTTTTTTTTCTTCTTCTTCTTAAATTCCAATGTCATGGTTTTTTTTCTCCTGATTTTCCGAGCCTCCGAGATTAGACAAACAACCTGTCGTTACAATATCCATCAGTTAAAAGTGATGCGCAAACAGGAAATAACAATGAAAGAGTATGAAAAAAATTGTATCTTCAGTGCCATCTGCAGTAGATCATACATAGCAAGCAAATCTCTGCTAATACCTGCTTAAATGTATAGGTACATGCATGTATACGGGCGGAAGAGTAAGCGCGTCGTGGTAAAAATCTCGAGAAAAATGACCGTAGTACATATAACATACACATATATATATACCCATAGATGTATACAATGTATGACCTACGTTTAACTTTCATGGCTCCTTAACCGCTGTCGCGCCTTCAAGTACGTATATATAAATATATATAATATGGAGTTGTCGGAGCTTGGCTGCTTGCTTTTGTTGCACACATCAGCAGTATACACGTTTTATATAGCGGCTTTTGCAAACGAGCGAACCAACCAACCGGTTGCTCGCACACACGTATATATATATTGTATACATATAAACGCGGGCGCTATCCTGTGCATACGCTTATATACTCACTTATGTCGGTACACGCGCGACAGTGTCAGAAAGATCTGGTCTCCGCAAAACGTTATTTAAGCACACGCTCGAATAAACGTAGTAATGTGAGAGTTAGCTGGTGTAACTACTGAGCGCGGCAACAACTCTGCGACTAGCGTAATTCACTTCGGTTGTGTACTTTGTTGGTTATACATATCCCGCTGGGATCGGATATTCTACAAATTATTATCGAAATACACCAAGTACCCAATTTCGTTTGCAACGAGGTCAATGAAAATTTTCTTGCAAATTTTTTAGGGGATTTTACTCTCAGTTACTGTACGCTGAAATTATATACATTATTCGGGTATTGGAAAACGCACAAGCAAATTTTACCGATCGACCGAAACAACAAAATTAGGTGCAACTAACCAATTTGCAGTAGATATATGAAACAATCGTTTGGTTATATTGTTATTAAATGTAAATTGTTGGCGTGATTTATTTTTTTCGTTACAAGTAATCCAACTCTAATTTTTTTCCATTTGTGAAAATTATGCAAGCATTGACCAACCAGTTTATGTCATGAAAATAATAATTATAATTCGCTCGTGTAAAAACATCCAACTTGGGCCAAAATTGTCGCATTTATTTACTAGATAGTGTAAACGAATTTGTCCGCGTGTCGGTATGACATAAAAAAAACTTTTTCCAATGATGAGTCTAATGATCGTGTTGATGGTGGTTTTTGAAAAAAATGAAACAGGTGACAGACCCGCGTCTCAATTGCTATACGTACCATCCAGAAAAGTATATTTTTTAGGAATATTGACCAAAGGTTTTACCTTCGTGCAAGCGACTCTCGTACCTTATGGGTGATGTGCACCGTAACGACATTTTCACATCCACCCGCGCAAATGAAGGCTCGCACGTGTCGGTCGGTTTGTGCGCGCGACAGAGCCGTTACTCGCACTTTTCAGCATATCGGGTGAGGAGAAAAGACGAGAAAAGAAGCTGTTATCTCGTTTCGTTGGCTCGTGCACAAAGCTCGATCATTAAATGACACCCAACAGATGTCAAACTCTTGATTGAAAAATCCGCCTCTGCAATTGTCTCCCCACGTTTCGCTTGTTGTTACACCAATCGCCGTGTAAGTTGATACTCGAAGCGCAGCTGCGCTCCCTTGTGTGTCGTCTATGCTCGAGCACCAAACTGAGCAATCGATGGATTGCAAATCATTACGCGGACCGTCTATCTTCATACAATGTATAATTGTTTTGTTCGCGCGACCAATATATATTAATTTCAACTTATATATAGGTGTGCGCTCGTACATGCCATATTGCGAGAAATTGCATGTATCACAGATATCGCGTTACGTGGAAATAAAAAAAAAATAAAAAAAATAAAAAATTGCGCTCTAAACCAAACGGGCGAGCATCGGATGGGATCCTGCAAAGTGTAGGATGGTAATCGTGTAAGAGATGGTTTAGCGCTTCTGGTTTATCGGACTATTGAATTACGCGTGTGCGCCAGTCCTTCGACGCACGCTGTTCGACCTGATAAATGCTACTACGCCTGTTACTTTTTTTAAAACAATTCATGGTGGTGATGAGATACATCCACAAATGTGAGGAAAGAAAAAGTTATTAGTTGTATGGTCTTGGAATTTTCTTTGATGATACGAAGAAAATGATGGTTTGATCTTAATTTTTTCGAGAATAGGATCAGACTTTGGTAATAAATTCATATTCAACAGAAAAATCGGTAAAAATAGGAACAGGTTGTCAACGAGAAGAGAAACGAAAGATGCAGGGTTCCTATTTCAAAAAAATTTTCAAAGCAATCTGGTCATAAATGCGGTATAGATACGCGTGAGGTTGCGGACTCTCGGGCTTGTAAGTGTTGCGGAAGTGCAACCCAAAGGGTTCATGGCTGAAACTATCGTTACAGAGATTATTGTTATTTTCCTTGTTATCTCGTGATGTACACTAGTTTGAGTACGCGCGAAAAATAAAAAGGCTTAGTGACGGAAAAATTAAAAAAAAAAGGTGTAAATTGCTGTATTTGCCACTGTTATCTAACTTATTCGTCATCACGCGCGAGTCCTCCCACTGGAGGCATGAAAAACGAAGCGTAAATAAAAGCTCGAGGGAAGTAAAAACAGCTTTATGACAAGTGTAATATACTTTGGCGTGCTTTTGCAAGAATTTCCTTGAAATTGCGCTCACATTGGTTGTAAACATTTATAGAAAACCTATGCCATTATTATCTGCTTTTTTACAATTGATAAATTCTTATCCACGCTTTTTTCTGAGAGCTACTTGTTGTCAATTGATTTTTGATCAAACTATATTAATTAAATATTTGATAATATACACGTTGTAAATTACACGTTTCAAAAGCATTTTTGTGTATTTTCATTGATTGCCTAAATTCATCTTCAAGAGGATTCTAGTAAAACTCTTCCACATAGTATTTGATTGTAATTATTTAGAATAGGGGTATAGAAGTAGGTTATTATCATTACCTATGTTTAATTCAACAATTTATTGTCGTACGTTCTTACAAGTTACAAAAATATTTTACTGTACTTTGGCGGTAAAATATATATTGAACTTGACGATAAATTATACCGTAAAAAAGGACCCCATTCATTCACTGACGAATAACAAATTAAAGACAAATGATAGTAAGTTGCTTCGACGGTAAAACTCACACTGCAACATTTTTCTTCGTGTGTCATTTCAGACGATAAAAAGTTACAAGCAACAATGATTAACAGATGACAAAGCTTTTTTTGTTTCGTACCCCAAGTCGTAGGTAAAAAGTAATTAAATAAATTAAAGTACGCGAAGGAACGTCCAACCCGTTGGTCAGCTGATGGCGAGTAGTTGAGTAATTATGTGGTAGGTGTAAGTGTATTATTTGTACTCAATTCAATGATGGACACATAAATCTGCGAAGCTGACAATAGTTTATTTACGTACACTCATTTAAGGCCGTTCCGTAAAGCAGTTTGTGTTGTCGAAAGATTTGAGATTTTAGTCACGCTAAAGGTGTCAACGCCACAAAGACAATAAACTCGGTCCATAATACCTCTAATCTTCCGCAGAAGAAAAAAAAACTGTAGGTGTAAAGTTCATCATTAAAAAAAACTATCAAAATTATTTTGTGTGCTTACGTACGTAAGACTTGAAAACTTAGTTGTAGGTGCAGGCTCAATAAAAATAAAAATTCAAAGTTGCCAAGCAAAGACAAATTATAACGAGTGACGGTGAAAACGAAAAAAAGATTCACCGTGAGTTGGGTCTTGTCAGGAGCTATCGTCGTTATTTCAAGGGCCCGTGGCTCCGGTGGGTTGGCCCGCTGGAGCAGAGCGGCCGGCACCTTGGCCACCAGCGACAACCTTCGTTTGAGCCTCTTGCTGAACTCTCCACGCCGCCTCAGCTTGACGCGCGGCGGCCCGGTGCCCTTGTCCTTGCCGCAGCCTCTGAATTCCATATTTAATGACATACCTGCAGACTCCTCGGCTCAAGCTTAAGGATTAAAATTCATCTGCTGTCACTCCTTGCGCATCCTCCCTCCGTCCTCGCGCGTGTTGTTCGAACTATATCTGGATAAACGAGTGTAACGCGATAGGTGTGTACAATTACGTGAACCCATTAATAAGGCAGGTAAGGACATACGAGAGGTTAGGGAGTAGCGGGAATCAATGAGATGCAACTTTGCATACTTAGGTACATACTTAATGTACACTCGGTCGGGCTGCAGAACCCGTTTGCTTTTGCTATTTCTGATTTGCGCAAGAAGCACTGTCGATAGTCATAACATAGGCACCGCCCCCGCACCAGTTATCGTTCAACACATGATTATTCGTGAGAAATGTCGTTTTGATCGGCGAATTGTGTACAACGCACAAGCGATTGCAGTTTTATAAACACAAATAAATTGTCTCGATTGTCCACAAAACGCACAGCACTATATTCCGTGAAACCGGTTGCAAATGGTATAGCTACATGTGTGCTCCGTATACTGGTACAACTCCACAACTGCGAGCAATTAATTCTCACATGGAGTATCGGCAAAACCGATCAGGATCAGGATAGTGTTTACGCGAACAGTTGGTTCGTATACACAAAAATTTTCACGTTATTTTGAACTTGTATTGGCGATGAGAAATGATCAACTGACAAAAGTATGTCTGTTAACCGTGACATGAACGGAGGAGGGGTCAATTACAAATGTGAATAACAACAAAAAACTTTCATTCATGAGAGACTTGGCGGCGCGACTTTCACAAACGACTGTGACGTGCCTACAGTGGGGTCCGGCCGACCACTGAAAGAGTTGCGCGACGAGCCTCGTGTGCCATGGCGAGCTGCAACATTGCGGAGGTAGGGGGGAGCGCCGGCTACTCATACCAACAGGTATATTATGCGCATCTAGCGCTTCCTATCATAGAATCATGTACACCTACATTTGAATAAAAAGCACTGTTTGCGCGTGGTGTATTTGCGATATATATTATTATTATTATTCATTTTCCAAAATATCCAGGATTAATTAAATGTTTTCATGGGCCTAGCAGATATTTATCGATTATTTATTATAGGTATGTCCTACATCTATACATATAAATATGTGTATGCTCTCGGTTGTGTTGTTCCACATGTCACGAGCTGGTTTGCTTTGCCCATGATATTAATATATGTAAGAACCTAATGCTTGGAATGTAATATATGCGCTTTTAAAATAGCTCACTCGGCCAACTGTGTTTTTATTTCCTTATACCACCCAAAGTGTTTTCAACGTTTTAGTTACGTTGTTTGTGCAACGTTGCAACGTCGAAAAATATAACGTTTTTAAACTATTTTTTTGGTGAGTCGATTGAAGCTAGAAAACAACGTTTTTAAAACACTTTTAGAACATTAAAAATTTTTCGTTAAGTTTTAACCCAATACTGACAACATATTGTCGGATGATATGAATTACTTCGTTTGCACCTTCCCGAATGGATGTAATATGTAATCAGAAATGTCCCGTTACAAAAGATGTTACTATTTAATCCAAAGAATAAATTAAAGAGAAAAAAATGTTTAAAAAATGATAAAATGTATTTCGCTGAAAAATAATTAAAACATAAATTAAAATTGCAATTGTCATGATGCAAGATATATGGAAACATTTGATGAATTATAGTAATTTTGTATACTCGTACTAAAAAGTTAAGTATGAACATGAGATATGGGACAAGAGATGAGATAAACAGTATTTACTTAGTTATTTTTTTTTTTTATAAACTCATGGCTACAAAAAATCAAATTTTGAATTATAATTGGATCGAAATTATCACTTTTTTTCTATTCTTTACCGATTTATAGTTAAAACAAACAATTTTGGAATATTTATCTATTATAGTTAAGCCAAACTAAATCGAAATGAAATAAAAGTGATTTTGACTTTTTATTTGTCTTTACGATTTTTTCTAACAAACAAAGTTATCACTCAAAACTTTCGAAATTGCACTAAATGACTATTTTACAATTTCGTAAAAACATGGAACTTTTGCTGAAACATTTTTTCAAGTTCCTTCTTTAAAATTGAAATATTTAAATATCGCGCGTAGTTGTAGGGAGAGCTTTTTTTTAGGCTTGGGAATCTAACCTATCGATAGGTATCGATATCGAAATATATTTTACCTCTTGTTTCAATGAATCTTTTCTTCTGAATATCTGAATGAACAGTGCACCTAATAGTAAAAGTGAAATAAGTGATATCATCATTTTTGACATAATATTGAGCATCGACGAATTAATGTGATATTTCTGAACATGGATAAATTCTTGACAAAATCTATGTCAACATGCCGAACTTTAGCATGTCGCTCACTGGTTGCTTGTCAGTGCTCTAAAAGGTAAATAGTAATATATTGACTTTTATTTAAGCTTTTAATTAGTGTAGTATATTATATTACAATTTGACTTATCAAGTGTGTTTTTAATAAAATTAATGTTTTTATTTCAGACTTCAAAATGTAAATAACAGTACGAGGCAAATGCACTCAGTGTTGAGCCATCCAAAACTAAAATTGTGTTCACCAGTTAATCAACAACATGTTAATCTCTTACAATTGCAAAAACGCAATATGTTTATACAAACACAAGATACTCCTAATCCGAACAGTTTAAAATTTATTCCTGGCGTAGAAGTTTTGGGTTCTGGAAAAACCAAAGATTTTCCTACCTTGAAAGATGCATCTTGTTCACCTCTCGCTAGAATGCTGTTCCGCATTGAAGGAGTCAAATCAGTGTTCTTTGGACCAGATTTTATCACTGTCACTAAAGCAGATGAAGACTTGGAATGGCAATTGATTAAACCTGAAATTTTTGCCAGCATAATGGACTTTTATGTCAGTGGTCTGCCCGTTATGTCGGAATCTCAGGCTTCATCTGATATAGGTAAAAGTTAATGTAATTTAGGAAATTTTATAAAAAGACAATTTTTTATTCTTATTGACAATTTTTGATTATCTGCAGCAAGTGAAGATGACGATGAAATAGTTCAAATGATCAAAGAACTATTAGATACAAGAATAAGACCAACAGTTCAAGAAGACGGTGGAGACATAGTATTCATGGTAAGTACTAATTCGATTTTTGAAAGTTCTCAACACTAATTTTTATGTGTTTATGCAGGGTTTTGAAGATGGAATTGTTAAATTGAAAATGCAAGGTTCTTGTACTAATTGTCCAAGCTCTGTTGTTACTTTAAAAAATGGAGTTCAAAATATGATGCAATTTTATATACCGGAAGTACTGGGGGTTATACAAGTCGAAGATGAAGCAGATGAAATTACGAAAGAGGAATTTGAAAAACTCGAAAAAAAAGTTGGTGAATCCGAAAGCGAACAAAAATAGAAATATCTTTAAATATTTTTTTTATTTGTATTATAGTTGTAACATATTACCTACTAGAGTCTTAAAGTTACGCATAAATGTAAATTATTTAGAATTAAACAAGTAAAAACAAATTTCTTTCAGTCTATTTATTTATCATCTTTTTACAAAAGTTAACGGCTCGAGATGGAAACTTGCCATACTCTAATAATATTGTCAGAGTAACCAGCAAACAAAGTTTGACCATCGGTGGACCAAGCCAAAGACAAACACTTGGGAAGTTCTTTGTTGAGTGTCTGGTTTGGTACTGTTGGTACGAGTTCTTGAACCATTTCTTTCAATTCAAGATCCCAGATCTTGATGTGAGGACCATAAGCAGCACAGAGCCAATACCGATTAGGGCTGAAGCACAAAGCAGTTATGATGTCGTTGTGGTCCAGGGTGTGCAAGTGCTTTCCGTCATTCAAATCCCACAGCATGGCTTTGTTATCCTTGCCACCAGAAGCACAAAGAGAACCATCGGGAGAGACGGTTACCGTGTTCAGATAACCACTGTGACCATTGTGGTTGATCTTAAGGCGACAATTGGTCAAGTTCCAAACCTGCAACAAGAAATTAAATAGCCCTTTTAGACAGAGGAATATCAAAATGCACACAAAATGCATTAGTTTGTTATCAACTTCAGTCCCATATCCGCAAACACTCACAGATATCATGTTTGAAAAAAAGATTCATCATCTTAGAAATTTAAGTCGTTACTGAGTGAGAAAATTTTTTTTAGTCATAATTACCTTAACAGTGCGATCCCAACCAGCAGACACAATGATAGGATTGGAGTGGTTTGGCGAAAACCTAACACAGCTGACCCAGTCAGAGTGTCCATCTTCTTGAATTGTGTATTTACATTCAGCCAATGTATTCCACAACTTGATTGTCTTGTCTCGCGAACCTGAGACGATTTGACGATTGTCAACTGAGAAAGCAACACTCAGAACATCCTTTAAACACAAAGAACGGGCAAGATTAAGAACGTGCATTCAGATATCAAAGTGAATAAGAATAAGTTCAGAAGCGAATAATGCAAGAATCTAGTGGTACGTGTGGTTTTAAGTTGTATTTCAGAAGGCAGTGTTGTAAGAAAAGACTGTAGTCTTATACTCACGTTAAAGACGAATTGCCCATCTCTTCAATATTTAATTAAAAAAAAATATTTAAAAAAAATGCTTCAGTTTTATATTTCAATTACACAAGGGGTTTATGCCTAGGCCCCAAGTGCAAGATGAATAAAGTAGGAAGAGCATCAGCTCAAAGTCGGATGTCACACCTGGGTATGGTCTTCAAACCTTCTTGTCGTGCGACCAGCTGCCAAGTCCCAAAGCCTCAAGGTCTTGTCCCATGAGCCAGACAGGGCGTAGTTTCCATCAGACGAGAGAACTACGTCGCTGATGAAGTGGGAGTGACCGTATAAACGTTTTTGAGGTACACCGTAGTGACCCTCGTCACGTGTCAATTTCCAAACAATCAAAGTCTTGTCTGAAAAAAATTTAACGTATGAGAAAATAATCAGCACTACCAACACATGTAGTTCTATGATTGGAGGTTAAAAAAGTAACTACTTCTTGAACCACGATTTAAACCAACATATGGATATTGATAAATAATAGGCACCTTGGTATCAATTAACGGAGTAAGAAATGAAATTAAAAAGAGAAATGATCTTGAAATACATGATACAAACTACAAATAAAGTACGAGTAGCGATTCTGTTGATCGGAACACTTACCTCGTGAAGAAGACAAGATCATGTCGGGATATTTTGGATTGGTGGCAATTTGGGTGACCCATCCATTGTGCCCGACGAGGTCACCTCTGTGCAGAAGAGTTTCCGTCATTTTTCACTTGATTTTGCGCTGTGATGGCTTTGATAACAGAGGATTACTTATCCACCCACCGCGAAGACCAATGTCGCTTGGACGAACGCCTTCAACGAAAAGACCGCACTGGACAGAAAAATGGGAAGCTAGCTGCCCCTGTAGGCGTTATATTGGCGCGCAGTGCTCGACCGGTATTGTCGGCAGTATTACTACGGTTGACCAGAGTTTGGTAATAAAAATAATGCCTTTGCTACCTACCACCAATATATGAGGCAGCTATTCTACATACACTCATGCGGGTGCTTTATATTTATAAAAGTTACGGTATCTCAGACCAAAGTAGTAGTGCCGAATGCCGAATACTGTCAATATACTAATAAGTCTATTAGTATATCTTGTTTTGCCTCGATTTGTTGTTTCATAAATATCGTAATTGTGTAAGGTTCCACGTTACGTGATCTGTCGACTTAAATAGATAAATTTACAATGACCAGCAACGGTGAGGCTTGTCTTTGTCATTAGTTAACATATCTATAATTTCCGTGAGTTTTTATTTGAAGTGTCAAGTTTTATTGAATCATCCAAAGTTATATTTTCAGAGGATAACAAGAGCGAAGTCTCGGTCAACATGGAAAGTGAAAATGGAAATGCTGAAGTGGAGGACAGTGAAAAAATCATGATCATTGATCCAGAATCTGAAGTTTGTATCGTCTGTGCATTGGGTTGGGAAATCAATAAGTACGTTCATTTTTATATATAATTTTGTCAACTGTGCTTGTTACAGGAGTTGGATTTCAATCATTCGCGCTTGACGAAATTGGAAAACTTGGAGCCTCTGCATAAAATAAAAAAACTGTGCTTCACCTGGAACTTGATCAAAAAAATTGAAAATCTCAATACCCTGCAAACTCTAATTGAATTAGAACTGAGGGATAATCAAATTACTGTTATTGAAAATTTAGATGCCCTTGTAAATTTACAGTGAGTCTTGAATATTATTATTGATTATATCTGTGACCTGATTTAAGATTTATCTGTATTTTATTGTTTTGTTTTTTAGACTACTGGACTTATCATTTAATAGAATTAAAAAAATCGAAGGCTTGACAAATTTGGTGAATTTACAAAAATTGTTTCTTTCGTCTAATAGAATTACAAAAATTGAAAATTTATCACATTTGAAAAATTTAAATATGTTAGAGTTGGGAGACAACAAGATTAGGGAAATTGAAAACTTGGAGGGTTTGGGTAATTTGACTAATTTGTTTTTGGGAAAAAATAAAATTTCGGTCATAAAAAATTTAAATAGCTTGAAAAATCTTACATTGTTGAGCATTCAAAGCAATAGAATTATATGTATTGAGAATCTAACAGAACTGACAAATTTGGAGCAGTTGTACTTGTCAGAAAATGGCCTTACCAGCATAGAAGGATTAGAAAATTGCCTAAAAATATCAACTCTTGACTTGGCAAACAATAAATTAAAATACATCAACAACATACAGCATCTCACTGAACTAGAAGAGTTTTGGGTAAGAAAAATTTTTAAGTTTCTATGGCTCATTGCATTAGTCACGTAATCGTTAATTTATTCATGCAGGTTAACAATAATGAAATTGAAGATTGGACCACTATTGATAACTTGACAGCTAATAAAAAATTACAAACTGTGTACTTGGAGCATAATCCCATTGCAAAAGATCCAAATTACAGAAGAAAAATAAAATTAATTTTACCTTGGCTACTACAACTGGATGCTACTCTGTGTCGATGAGACCATAAATCTTTGTCTTTCAATGATAATGTTGGAGATAATGTAGAGGATGGAAGGATACCTCTTACCAAGAATAATGATGAACTAAGTGGCTGTTGAGGAAATTTAGTATTTTTATAATTATCATAGAAGCTTTACTGTTGAACTTAACGTTTTACAATGAAAATAAGTAACTGAAAAAAAAAGACTGTGTAAAGTTACATTCTAAGCATACTCTTTGAAGATAAACTTGAATACATTGCGTTGCAAATAATATTTGTGCGGAATATGCAATGTGTGGCATAATATTCACAAGTATTTAAATCCACCTTACAATTATCAAGATACCAATATTGATTACATAAAAAACTATATTTGTGCAAAACACTTATTTTAATAGATTAAACATGTAAATTTAAAATAAACCTTTGAAAACGCATTGTCAAACTACTGTTGGATGTATAAGTCCTCTGGTGATGAAACATCACTTAATTGTAAACTTAAAAAAAAATAATGAAATATTCATACGACCGTTTTTTGAGTTTTAACAACTTGTATTGAAATTAATTGAATAAAATAAAAAATTACTGCGAATGAGAGTTTGGAATGTTTTCAAAGTTGATCATTACACAAAGCATTAAATTACCTGAATACACAATTATGTAGTTAAGATTAGATTAAAGGAAAGATAAGGCGCTCATATTTACGTTTTTGAACATTTAATTGGAATTTTCTCGTAATGTACGGATACGTTAATTTTTTATTAATTAATTAAAGGGAATCAAGTGTGTGGTATATATGTATATACCGATGATTCAGACAGCCTTGCAAGACTTCTGCTATATCACACCGTGTTCATTTCTGCATTTTTTTTTATTATTACGATGTTTGAATGCAGTTATCACTTATCAATCATAAACATCTGAGATAAGTACTTATATAGGTGGCGGTCATTGGTATAAACAGATTCGTAGGAGTTTGCAGTACCAAACACCAAGTGTATCGGTGCGTTACGTGCTAAGGATAAGGAGTAAGGAGTTGCGTTGCCGGCTCTCGTACCTACTTACATCAGCGAAGGCGACGAGTGGAATACTTACTTAAAAGTGATGAGAAGAGTGAAGTTAAAGTGCGGCGAAGCGAAAGGAAGTGTGTAGCATCTTACAAGCAGGTGCGTTTGTATGTATGTATATATATATACGAGCTGCGAGGTGTATTTTGTTTCAGTTTACCTATGAGACAGAGACGACGAGAGCGTGACGTGAGAGAAAGAGCTATATATAGCAGAGTTATACATATATAGGGAGGCATCGGCCATTTTGTTAGTGTGTGCACACATATCGTGGATTGTGGACCACGGTAAACGCGAGGTTGACCATAGCAGCAGGAGTTGGCTGCTAAACACTTGCAGCAGCAACATTATAGTGAATCAGTCCGCGCGACCAGTGTGTATAAACGTAGGTGTTCACGCGTCGAGTCGAATCGAGTCGTTGCGTGTCGCGAGAACCTCGCGAGTGGCAGCTGCAGGAGTTGGCGTGTGTAAAGTACGCCGAGGGGTCGCCGCCACCACTGCCACCGCCGTTGCTGAGGATACCTATATACACATATATACTCATCTAGTCGCACATTCCTCTCCTCCAGAGGCAATTTAAATCTGCACCACAGATATTGAAGGCAGTGTATAGTGCCGCCGCATACAATATATTAGTTACGTATGCGTTGCTGTTGCTACAACTACTACTTTAGCTGGGTTGACTCTGCAGCAGCGACATAACCGTTGCGCCAAAGCTTCCCGGTTAAGCGCACGCATCTCACGAGTGTAGCAGAGCCCGCATAGCCAAGCATGGAGGAGAAGGCGTCTCTCAAGGAGCTCGACCAGTGGATCGAACAGCTGAACGACTGCAAACAACTGACGGAGAGCCAAGTCAAGACGCTCTGCGACAAGGTGAGCATCCCCGTCGGCGCTGGACTCTTCCTTCCTTCCTTCCTTGCGGCTCCAGGACTCCCCGCGCCCACCCACTCTCGTGGGCTCCAAGATGTCCATCCATCTCTCTCGCTCTCCACCTCCGAACTCCTTTTACTCGCTCCCACCCGGAAAAACTAGACTCGAGCTGGTTCCGGCGCTTCAGGAACCTGCTTTTAGTCTTGAGGTTGTATACGGATATTTTTCGCAACGATGATCGCCCGCAATATCCGCGAATCACTCGAGCCCGGTTGCAGTCATTCCGATGATTCAGAGTCTCCATATAACGATGATATGACAGTCCCGATATACCAACTCGCTTATTATTTATCGTTACGAGCGCCAGTACTGGTATGATGCAATGCTGGCGAATGTAAACACACTTGATTTATTGTTGGCTGCTTTTATTCGGGTTCGTTTGCATCCTCCAGTAGAACCTATTCTTTGATTCTCATCAGTTGTACGTAGGAATTACTCGTTGATCAAAGAGGCGCGGGGGCGGGGTAGACAGACTGCATGGGTACTTGTGATATTCTTAAAACACATTTTCATTATAGTCTGTATCTATATTACGTGTGAGGATATACGTGTGTGTTGTCTTCAGAGTATTAAGAGTGTGTTTGAATTTGATGAGACTTACTTGATTAAAGCTGTGTTTACTTAAACAATTGTGATAAACTCGCATTTTCATTATTAATATGTTATCAAACGTTTTTAGGCAAAAGAAATTCTAGCAAAAGAATCCAATGTGCAAGAGGTGAAATGTCCTGTAACAGTATGCGGAGATGTGCATGGGCAGTTTCATGATTTAATGGAACTGTTCAGAATAGGTGGAAAATCCCCAGACACGAATTATTTGTTTATGGGTGATTACGTTGATCGTGGCTATTATTCTGTTGAAACTGTCACGCTACTTGTAGCACTTAAAGTAAGATTTCTCATAACAATTTTTTTTTTCACTTGATGAAATATCAAATATTATTTTTATTCTAAAACATCCTCCTCTTTTAGGTGAGGTACAGAGAAAGAATAACCATCTTAAGAGGCAATCATGAATCCAGACAAATTACACAAGTTTATGGATTTTATGATGAATGTCTTCGTAAATATGGAAATGCAAACGTCTGGAAGTTTTTTACAGACCTCTTTGATTATCTACCCTTGACTGCACTTGTAGATGGTCAGATATTTTGCTTACATGGTGGACTTTCTCCTTCTATTGATACATTGGATCATATTCGGGCACTAGATCGTCTACAAGAAGTACCACATGAAGTTAGTATTTGATCAAAAAAAATTTTTGATTATACCTCATTATATTGGTAATAAAATTTATTAATATTTTTATAGGGACCCATGTGCGATCTTTTATGGTCAGACCCTGATGACAGAGGGGGATGGGGCATTTCTCCTAGAGGAGCTGGGTATACTTTTGGCCAAGACATTTCGGAAACATTTAATCACTCTAATGGCTTAACACTTGTATCGCGAGCTCATCAACTGGTTATGGAAGGCTACAACTGGTAACAAAATTTGCAATTTGTATTTACAAAATGATTAAACTATACATACTAATTGTATTTTCTTTTTTACACAAAGGTGTCATGACCGTAATGTCGTAACCATATTCTCGGCACCCAATTACTGTTATCGTTGTGGTAATCAAGCTGCAATCATGGAATTAGATGATGCTTTGAAGTATTCATTGTAAGTTTTGACAAGACCAAAAATAAAACGCTTTTGTTTTTTTTTACAGTGAGAATAAAAATTTGTTATATATTTTTAGCCTCCAATTTGATCCAGCACCAAGACGCGGTGAGCCACATGTCACTAGGCGAACGCCAGACTACTTCCTGTAAGGTGTGGAACACGAGGAAGTGGACTCAAAGGTAGGGGAATGGAATGATGCTGGCTTTATAGAGATGCCACAAAAACGTAACCTTTATTAAGAAAAAAAAAAAAAAAAAAAAAACAAACAAACAAACAAACAACATCTGTACCTTTAACCGTTATTGTAAACGGCCAAATAAAGAAAGTGGTCAAGTTTTCAAACCCCGAATGAATGTTAACTTATTGATGGGCGATAAAACAACGTCTGCCGAAGATATACGTGTCGACTTTTCCTAATTGTAATACAAAGCTGACTGTTGTCATTGAAATGGTTACTGAATGAGAAGAAAAGAAAGATTAAAATAGCTGTATTTAAGAGAAGAAAAAAAAGTGATGGAATAAAATATCTTACGTTTTAACTGATGTGTGATAAAAGAGTGAGATTTTTCTCCAAGTAAAGGCATGTGAAGTATAAGAGGGTTGATGCAATAGTGATTTCCATCCCAGTTTTGCCACTACTTTATACGTCATTTTTAAATCCAAGTATTTGTATTTATTACTACTTCTTTTTCACGATTGTGAAACACAATGTTATTAGAGTTTAAAATAAAAGTGGCTGTTATGTGTGGCTGCTGTAATATACGAGATTTTTGTAACGTAAATCGGAACCTCAGTGGACCATATGTTCTTTATCAAAGTTTTTCATTTCGATACTTTTGTTTTTAGCGCGACAGAAAAATTATCTGATCGAATTTATTTGTGAATAAAAATCAAATTTTATACCTTACGCTCCTTCTCTCTTTCTTATTCAATCGATAAGAAGAATAAAGGAAGAGTTTTGTAATGTACTTTTTCTACTTAAGAAAAGCTTTTTTAATGCATTGTTATTTAAAACTCTCAAGCATTTACTTTATTCGTCTTTCGTTGTGTTACACACTGGACTATTGATGCATTGGAATAAATAAAGAATTAATGCTCTTATCAGAAATTGTAAGTTTTTATGAATTCTATACCACTTGACCACACATTGTCGCAACGAGAGGGATAAAGACACCTCGTGGCACTTTTGCATCAATCCCCAGAAATGAAATTAATTTTTTTTAAATCAACGCCTAACGATACTATCCTTTCATCAATAATTATATCTTACCAAAAGTTATTGGTTCGTTTTACACAACTTTTTACCAATTTTAAAAATTCATACAAAAATGATATCGATTAATAAAGTTTTCGACTTGAGCGGAATTGATTTATATTTATTATTCTAAATCATTTTAGGCTAAGTAATGTGTACATGTGTACCATGAGGTAACCTGTCGATGCGATGTATCTATTTTTCTTTTGTCAAAACGTAAAAACTGAAAACATACCGTATTCATTGAAATATTCATTGAAGTAGAAAAAAAAGACAGGTGAAACACACATGCTAACATATTGAGATAAAATAATGTTAAGACTGCAAATTTGATATTGTATAATGACGATGAATTGACGTTAATAGAGACCCTAGAGTGATTGTTTTCAAAAAATATGAAAACAAAAAAAAATAATAAATAAATTTAAAAAATTACTGTAACAATCTCTAAATTGATAAAGTGCCGAGGCAAGCGCTAAATAAAAGATATGCGAAGAACCACACAAATAATAACAATTTATCAAGACTGCGAATCGATCAAATTGAAATAACTGAAAAGATAACATTTTCTCAACTCTAGTGTGTCCCTTTCTATTACCTCTATCAGACACCTATATACTATCGAGCATAAAGTTAATTTTCATTGAATGCGTGTACTTGTTCTTGGAAAAATTTCACAGATTTATACAGAAACAAAAAAAAAATGTGAATTCAATGCAGTTCTTTTGACATTGATGTTTTCAACACTTTTTTGTGCACTTGTCACTTTTGTATGAACAAATCTTTAAATAAGAGTTTTTTCAAAATAAAAGAAAAACAAAAAATCAATTTAATGATGAAACAAAAAAAGGTGTTTTCAGTAAAATTATATTTGTACCCGGGTGTATTTCTGTTAAATCTTTTACATAGCTGAGAAAGAAGCAATATTATTAGAAACGACCATTCTAAGAGAAAGAAACCCATGGGTAAAGGTCATTTAGTATTACATAATTAACAATCTAAAAATGAGTTGAGTAGCAGTACAACATCATAATAAATGATTTAATAGTCATGTAGACGTTGTATAGTTTTTTATTTGTAACGCACGTGTAAGAAATGAAAAGGTAGAGGTGGAGGAAATGAAAAATGCGAGATAGTGCGCTTTGACGTGCCGTTGAAGCACGAGGAGTTTTTTTAAATTGTAACATAATTTTATTTTAAATAGGTAAATTGATAATTTGACAAATAACCACTACAAAGCGGAAAGCTTCGAAAATCGATGTAGTGATTAAATAAAAATTTTGTGCTTCAGCTTGTATTAAAAAAATTGAAGAGAGAGAAAGATGCAATACACAAGATTTTCATATTTTTATGAGCGAGCAAGTTGACTAGTTGACCTGAGCACACGCCCAACTAAGTATAAATCGTATCATCTCATTTTTCTCTTTTGAGTTCGAGCATTTAAATGGAAATAAAAAAAAAAAAAAAAAAAAAATAAACTGAATAGCGGAAGAAAAGCACATGTAAAACAGTATATGTACTGAGCAAGTATTTGTAAATTTAGGGTGAAAGTCAAGTTATGACAATAATAGATAAAATATTTTAAATTCATAAATTTTGTGAAAAAAATTTCTGAAATGTGAGTAAAATCCAGTTTTGATGTTTTCAAGATTTTTTCGTCACCGCAAATGAAGCAAAAAATACTCTTGTATTTTTTTGTTTTTTTGCAAGATTATTAATGTCTCGTAATACATCTCTAGTAAAATTAGAGAACGGCAACCAGCAAATTTTATCGTTGAGAAAGAAGCTAGCATTTGTCCAGTGAGCGTGTCTAATGTGTATTTGTAGCAGTCAACTTGCGCGTACTGTGCTGCCTTTACTGCAAGATTTTGTTTCCTACTGTTGATGGTAACAAAAAAAATGAGATTAAAATATGGGAAAGCTATAGAGCTATTGTTGCTACTGCTGCTGTATTGACCTAGAGTCAAAAGTTGTTTTGATGCGAATGTTGGTCCCTTATCTTCAATTACTATTCTTTTTGTTTCAAATTATGATTGAATCATCCGAAGAAAAAAAAACATTAAATAAATAAAATGTATCAAAAGATAGTTAGGTCTTTTTTATTNTCCGGCCAATGTCAAAGAGCGATGGTCCCATGTAAGCTTATATGTGCTGCACAGAGTAGTGCCACTGAACGTCAACGATACATACATACAAACTACCATTTCTCTTTTTCTGTGCAAGTCTCCACTGTTTTATTGCCTTATTTATCCCAAATTTTAATAATCAAGAAGAACGTTAATTTCTTAAATAGGACGGCTAGTTTGTTTAAATGAATTTAGTATTTCATAAATTTAAAAAATATGCAATCTACTGCTTTACTCCATGCTTACCAAATTTCACAAGGATTCATTTAACTCATCAGTAAAAACCACGTTTTCTAAACAATTGTTACATTTTTTCCGTTCGATATGAACAATATTTACAAAATATTTTGAATATTTTAAATAAGTATTTCTTTTATCATACATATATTTATATAAAGGCACTCCTTCAACGTGGTAATGCCGATGGTGAACACCTTTAAATTTTAGCAATTTTCAATTCAATTATTCTAAGAAAAGAATAAGCTTGAAAATCAAACTAACTCCTTACACTAATTGTACATCAACGTCAAATTCAAGTCAAATTTTTAAACTTTTATTCCCGTGTCGAGATTAAGAAATTGTTTCATAACTTCGTAAGTAGCAAAACTCACAGCAACCATTGGAATAGCTCTTAAATAATTTATGCTCATTCCTCTGTACAATCCTTTAGTTATACCATTTTCTCTATATATTGTAAGCAACGTTGATACCATCCCTATGCTGAAAAGAGTACAATATAAAGAATAATAATAATTTAAAAGAGGGAATTTGACAAGTGTAAATTAAATGAAATACCTAAATTTATGCGTAGCTGGATTCATCATTGCTAGCTGCATTCTTCTTCTGGTAACATCCAATGGGTAAGAAAAACTCTGTGCTATTGCTCCAGCAATACCGCCACATAGTAATTTTCCCGGTATCGTTAAAACCAGTCCACCTACAAGAAAATTTAGTTTGTAAAGTTGATGCAAATTAAAATTATAAAATGTGAAAGTAAAAATATATTACCAGTATTTTTGTCGCAACTGCTACAAAGAATATTAGGAAAGTATTTTAGACACAGGTACTTTAATTTTTCAAAAGAGTAGAAAGAAAATCCTGCATATGGTATCATACCACATATAGTTGGTAAAAATCCCCTGTACAATGCTCTAAGACCACCTTCCTAAAAGTTTAAAAAATAATCATGCTACATTGAAAAACTTTAACTCTTAATTAACAGTGTACCAACATCATTGAAGATCGAAACAGCTGTATGAACGATTCCTGTGTAAATATGTTCTCCAGTTATTTGAAAGGCAAGTCGAGCTCTGATTGTATCAAGAGGATAAGTAAAAGCAACAGCTGTAACTCCAGCACAAGAACCAGCTATGAATTTGTCAGCTTGAGTACGATTTCCCAACAATCTTCCCAAGTGCTGTAAAAGTGAGTTGTGAGTTTTTTCGGGAAAAGTAAAAAGAAAAAAAGATATCGATTGAATTTGTTTATTACCTTTTTGTAAATTTCAAAAGCAGTAAATTGTGTAGCAGCATAAGGAAATATTCTGACCATTTGGGCAAAGTTACCCTTGTAAAGGGCAAAAAAGTGTTCACGTGAAACAATTTCTCTAAGACCAGAGAAAACCCCTTAAAAAAGAAATAGCATTGATAATTCATGAAAAAAAAAAAACAAAAATTTAAAAAAACTTTAAAAATAATTACCCAAGTGTTTGTAATGACTGTTGTGAGCCTGCAACAAAATTTTTATTCTGTCCAAGGGAGCAACAGTAGTTTTGGAACACATTCCAGCAACACCTGAGAAAACCAAGTAAACACATTAAGTAGTTTAATGAAACGTTATTGGCACACATTCGAAAGTTTCTGTTGTACCTACGATGAAAGCGATGATTATTTACGGTCAGCGAGACATGCGAAACATCGCACAGTAAAAAGAGGAAAAACAAAAGCAGGGACGGTGTATATACTTGTTCAGCTGGAAAATTAAAGGGGAACAAAAGGTATATTTAAAAAACTTACCCCCGGCTATGAAGTTTTTGACGACAAAATCGAAATTCTGGTTGGTGGACGTTGGGCTGAGAGTCGACATGGTTTCACTTTTCGCGCTGCCGCCTGCACGCTGGTGCGTTCTCACGAGAGCACCGTCGACGCCTGTACTACCGTCTGCTTACAACTTCTTTTGGCTCTCGGCTCCTCTGATGTGTGTCTGCGGGAATCTTGAATGGAGAAAGCAAAAATGCCGCGAGAAGAAGCGCGTAAGTAAAAGAGAGAGCGGGTAGCTTTGGTTGTTGGCCGGCCCAGCCCGGCACTAAACGCCCGCTGGTGGGCCTCGTGATGGCTATCGGTACGCACGGGAAAGTCAGTGACCTTGAACTGGCTCTTCTGCTTTTCCACTATATATGTAAGTCCCCTCTCTCCCCTTGTATACCTGCTGCGTAAAGAACTCCGCTCGGCATGCGGCCCAAGCCCAACCAGTTGCGTTGCGACGATTCGCGATTTCGCAAAGTGAGAGTTGCGGCGATGGGTTGTTCTTGCGCTCTACACAGACTACACTTTAGACTCTCTCGCCACCACCACAATATGCAATCGAATTCAGGTTATACTTCCGTCGAGCAATTTGCACTTTGCACCGTTACGTATTTACATCAATATAGTACACGATGAGAAAGCAATGATTAATTCCCTTTGAATATATTCCTGCACTGCCGCGTGACATTCGATTATTCGGAGTTTTTAATTATTAAGTAGGTATATTTACTTACTTCTTAACGTTTTTTATCGGGCTGGGAATTCCGAATCTTCACGCGACTTACGTCTGCGACGACTCCGAAATTCGTGAATATTTATATGCATTGTTTAGCAGCGGGTGTGCAAAATATAAGTAAGATAAGATAAGAACTTTGTTTAAACGGTGTATTAATAACAGGTTTTGTTCGCAAATTAATTTACATGTATAAGTGCCCGAATGTACTCAATGACTTAATAAATGTTGTGTCGTTTAAAGCGAAATAATTGTTTTGAGTCTAATCCAAGTTACGCTATCCTTAATTCGTGTTGCGATTTACAATAAGGATGAATCGCAACTTTTGTTAATATTTTTTTTTTTAATTTTTTCCTGAAATGTATGCTTTTGGCGCTAAAAAAAATCGCAGTATTATGAAAATAATTTTCAAATTTTTCAGTGAAAACTACATAAAAAGGTACAAAATTTTAGTAACTTGAAAACGTCCATGTTTAAGTAATATCATACTTAATGTGTATGAATTTACCCTCAGTTTTTGGCAAACCTCCTTTGAGATGGATCTTTCATTTAAAATCTGCTATGGCTATGTACAAAAATAAGTATATTAAGAACTGAAAAAAAAAATTCGAATTGTAGCTCCGATGCCTTTCTTAAAAACACAATTTGTTGACTCATCGAATTATTTACTATTTATTTTTAAAAAAAGTGTGCGAGTTTGCCCCGATTTTCCGTGTACATAAACAACTCATTTGATTTCTCTGACGCATCAATACGATAATTTAACTTTCGGTGTACTAAAAAAAATCCAATCAAAGATAATATTCGAGTTAATAATCATGTAGCTCTTGTCACGATTATTATGATCACAGACACATGCATAAAAATGTTTTAATTCATATCATTTTTATATAAGAACGTAAATAAGTATAAGATAAACAATTATTGTAATTACGAATAAGGATAAAATAAGTATGTAAACATATCTACTTGAAATACGATAACAATGCTAAAAAAAACAAAAGAAAAACATTAATAGTACAAGCGTACCAATATTTAATAATTTTGACTAAAGTCGATAATAACCATATACAATAATATGACTAATAACTACCTTCAATTTTGTTTTTTTCATTTTTATTGCTCATTGTTTTGGTAATATAGAATACGATTTGAAGACGTATTTCATTAATTGTAACTTACACAAGCTAATGGTATTTTTTTTAATTCAAAAGCTTTCGGAGCCGTGGGTGTTGTCAACTTGTGAGTGTTGCCATTGGTCGTGTGTGTGCACGTGGATGGACCGACAGATGTGTGTTTTTGTAAAGTAAACACTGCGTGACTGCGTGTGTATAACATCACTGCATATTGCCGCTTTATAACCTATTTATTACACACAGGATTTTGTGTTGCGATAAATAACATAAAGTACACTTACGTTCATTCAATCATGTCCACTCCAGTTTTAGTAAAGCAACAACAAAAAAAACCTCAGTCAGGGAAAAAAGTTTCAACCAAAGGCTTGAAAAACGTATTGGCTTTACCAGACGAAAATTTCTGGTAATGATTTTTTTTTAATTTCACGCAATAAAATAAAACGAGGACTCGCAACTTGCCCAATTCAAATCAATTTGTTTGTGTGCTTTTTTTCACGTTCAGGCCGCTTCTGAAAAGCGATCCAGGGGCTGAACTAGAAGATCTCTTGAAAAAGTAAGTATTTGAATGTTGGAAAAAGTTACTATTCATAGTTATTCTATTTGTTGGCTGGCAGTATTAACAATGTACTTGATAAAGATTATTACCGGTTTTAAAACGTGACAAAAAAGTACTACCCTGGTCACAAATTCGTAAAATGAACAAAGAAGAAAGATCAGCTGCACGCAAGAACGCTCAAGTTGAATGTGATACTACCCATGATGAAAGTGCTGCGTAAGTTACTAAATCAGATTCTACATTGTATTAGTGTTAAGTGTTGAACATACACTGAAATTAATTTTTTTTAGGAAATCCATAGTACTGGGAATCAATGCTACTACAAGGTCGTTGGAAAAGGATGATGCTTGTTGTATTTTAATAGATGGAACTTTCAAACCACCAGTTTTGATAAAACATGTAATTGCCATGGCAAAAAGCAAAAGCATCCCTATACTTATTGTTCCTTTTTTAAAAAAAGTAACTTTAGAAACGATTGGATTTTCTTGTGCTGCGATAGGCATCAAGGTAAGGCACACTGTGATAAATGTATTTTAGTGCTATACTAGTAAAATATTATTGACTTGTGCTAATTTGCTCTTTTTTAGAATTGTGTAAAAAGTACATCAAATAATTACTTTAATGCTTTGTATCAAAAAGTGAAAGAAATTTCATTAGAATTTACTCCATCAACAACTATTGAATCGGTTGAAAATAAACCATTAGACGAACCTTCAAAGGTACAGGATGCCAGTGTCACCAATGTTGATGCAAAGAATCACCAAGATATGGAAGTAGATGTACAAGATAATACAAAGCTTTCTACTGTCTCTACAAATGTTTATTTATACAGAGAATCAAAAGATAAAAGAATTTTCAATCCAATGAGCATATCTAAAGATTTAAACAAAAAAGAGGAAGCACAGTGTCGTGAATATATAAAATTAAATGTTGATGCTTCCAATGAGAATGACGTGCAATCTGTTGTTGGTGAGAAAGTTTATCGTTCGCTTAGAGTTAAAAGATTGAAGGGTAACGAAGCTAGAACAAAATCTGGAAAAGTCAAGGTAAAAAAGTAATGTAAATATTTTTTAATAAATAATAAAATGTATTTTCTTTATAAAAAAATGGTACACTATTTACAACCATATATTACACTTTAAATTTGTGGAGTAAAAATTATATGAGTATCACTGTTATCAAACTGGTAGTGTCGAGCTAACCGAAGATTTGAACAGTCTTGTGAAAAACATTAGTCCCATCGTACTACCTGGTATGTGACTTATCAAAAATTGCAACATTGCAATGAGTTGCAATATAGCGCACAAAACAGTCAGTGGAGTTGATTGCAAATGTAAAGCAAAGTACAGAGTCCCCGTTAAAGTTGAAAAATATATGAGAGAGAAATACCTTCTTTCTTTCGAAAAGAGTGATCTCATGTAATTCATTGGCCCCCACAGAAAAGCAAAGCTGAAAAAACGTTTGGCAATAATCATTAAAAGTAACAAAGTATTTGAGCAAGAAATATCTTGAACAATTATCGTTACCTCATCAAAAAAAATAAACTTCCCAATGAGTACAGTAGAGCGAATTTCCTAGCTTTCAACAGGAGAACTGGTACATACAGGGCGGACAAACAAAAACACATAATGCCCATCACAAAGCACAGTCCGAAAGCAGATAATCTTTGTAATCTCGTCTAAAATCGAAGAAAACAATGTTGCGTTCAACTTTCAATGAAAAAAAATTATTAAAAAAAAAAAAAAAAAAAGTTTTTTATGCTAACCATGGTAGGACAACACTCCCTTTGCGTCTCCCTCAGCCATCCTGATTCCTGTTTCTCTTCTGTACTCCTGCCCAGCCATTTTCCAATATTTGGCTTGGGAATTGATACCGATGGTAATTTGTATTGTTTCTCATTTTTACTGCTAAGAAGATACTCGTTGAGCTCTTTATTTAGATCGGCCATTTTGACACGTAAACTCTGCACACATGTCAACCGGCCTGTGTGAAGAGGCTGTTAGGTATTTTGTTGTTTACAAATTCAGCCGATAAGGTAGGATTCAAACATTTTTACAGTTGACGTGAGTGTATATATCTATACATTTACGGTATATATTTGTTTTTGACTTTACAAGCGTAGAAATCCACTCACCATCAGTTAACAACTTTTTCTCGGGCACAAAATAGCCTCCTTTTTTTTTTGCAAAAAGCAACTATTAGCAAAAATCAAAAATTAATTTATCTTGAATTCGAGCCATATTATAGCGTAATCACAACATATCAGAATATTGTCTTGAAGATTTTTACATTCGTGTGCTGTAACAATACTTCGGGGAGCTAATTAAAAAATAAACCATTTACTTATTAGTGTAGGGATGTATATATGTTTCTTTTAAATGAAAAAATAAATTACAAAAAAAAAAAATTTATACCAGAATTTTTTACTTCGTTATTCATGAACTCATTTTGCACTAGATAAACCCAGCTAATTCGGAGGAAATCTCTGTTAATCTTTAGTAACTGCGTAAATGAAAAAATCACAAATAATTTATACATACATTTAATAAATAAATTGAAAAAGGTTGGACATTTTGTGATAGGGTTTACAGTCGTAAATCAAAACTGCTTACGCAAATTTTCAAACTTACATTTATTAAAACAAATCAACATTGACCTCATATTATGGGTTGCATATCATATTGGTTACATAAATTGTTAATTAATTGCTCTACCTTGCAGAACAAGTGTATTCATTCACTGCATCACGCCCCATCGAATTTCGTTTCACTTGATTGATTGATTGATTTTTTTTTTTTTTTTTTTTTTTTTTTTTTTTTTTTTTTTTTTTTTTTTTTTTTTTTTTTTTTTTTTTTTTTTGGTATTTGCTTATAATTGTCATTACACTTTTTTTTGCCCCTGTTGACTAAACATCGTAACGAATCGTATGACGTCGATGATAAACATAATATATAACTCGCGTAATGAAGTTTGTCGAATTCAGAGCATTTTTTGTGTATTTATTACAATTTACCCATTCATTCGAGAAAAAAAAATTTTTTTTTTTTATCCTCGATTATTAGATCAATTACAATAACCCTGAAATAAAAAAAAAATGAATTTCACGAAGTAGTAACACAACGCAACAAATTAGTCTACGAATGACAGCTATGATGTATTATTATCGTAATATCACGTGATGAGTCATTAATAAAATAAGCGCAATCGAATAATAACAACAATAAAAAAGAAATCACATTTAAATTGTACAATCTACGTTTTTTTTTGTTTTTTTTTTTTTTTTTTTTTTTTGTGGAGGGAGGGGAA